ACTAGTGAGACTATGTCACTTATAATTCTGGCATCCATTCGTATGCATAGGAGAGAGATTGGAGTGTGAGAAAGAAGGGGAGGAAGGAGGATATTACATGTACATTAAAATAATCAAACAAGATTGTTGAGACTAGAGCCTACCGTTATGTTGCTTCATAATCAAGTGCAGACATTGTCCCTTCTGAGAGAAACTTATCAAGACATCGATCTTGTTTCTCAGCTATATTATGCATGAGATAACTCCTTGAGCCATTTCAAATTGTTCTCTGGTGCTGCAGCTAAATACTGGGCAATCATTTTCAAGGTGACTTTTCATTTGCAGTCTCGCTTCATTTTCATTCCTAGTTAACCGCGTAGCAAGTCAAATAGTGAAAAACTGCTCTAATTTCATCACCGAGACTCTTTTTAAAAAATGGGGGTTGCTTAATTCTGCATACTTTGGGTTAATGACATGATTTGCTAGTCAGTGTCTGTGAAGAAAAGATGTCATTTAATGTCACAATCACCGGTGCCTTAGCAATCTTCATCTTTGCTTCTCTGGTAGATCTTGCCTATTCCAAGGAGTGCACTTGAATCCTGTTTCGGCAGGCCTCTTTTATCACAGGTCTACAAATAGAAATATGTTTGCACATTTCTGTTGCTGTGCACTAAGTTTCTTTGGGACAAGTTTGGACTCGCCTATGCACGGCTAATAGCTCACTGTTTGATCAAGAATATGCCTGCTGGTGACGCTGAAAAATATGATATTAGGGATAGAATCGCTATTTCTCTGGTGATAGTTGATATGAGCCTAGGAAGATGCCTACTGAGGCTGGCCCAGCCCTATCTACGTTAATTGCTTTGGGTCTTCTGAGACTTAGGACTTTTCCAATCCAGCCCTGGTGATTAAGGCCTCCAAGTGGAGCTGCTAAGGATCTGGACTTGAAACTAGAAGATACAGCCCTCCCTATCAGCATTAGCTTGTTCATGGTAAAAAAAAAAAATACTATGCCTTGATGTTCCCCTGATCAAATGGCAAGATGTTCCTTTGTTGTGATCAATCTGAGGGCTGTCTCAATTCCTCTCATTTCATAATTGGAATCTACGATTTTAGCAGGGTTCTCTCTCCATCACTCTTATCAAGTTTTAAACTACAGTATTGACTTACATACACTGGTTTTAGATGATCAGTAATGCCAATGCAGATCACTTGTAGTGTTACTTCTTTCTAGAGCCCTGCTGAAGAGATATCCTCCTGTACTGAGAAAGCTTCTGTTTGCAGTGTTATGTTGAATCAATGCTTCCTGTTGCCTGGTAAATGGAAGGACTTGTTTTGCCATGGAACCAGTTTATTAGATGTGGGTTGAAGTATTTGGGAGGTAAAACTGATCACTGGCAACTAACCAGTATGGCACACAGCAGGGAAACAAAACAGGTGGTACCGTAATTAATAAAGGATGGCAGTAGATGAAAGCAGGACTTGTCACCCAAAGAGGTTATCAAGATTTTGTAGTGTTAGCAGTAGGTAGCAAGCTTATTTAGGTTCCGGATAGGAACAGGAATAAATTCAACTCTGCTTCCTTCAGTGAAAGATCAAATCAGTTTATTACAGCCATGTGGCCAGAAACAGTAAAATATCCAGTTTTGGGCAATGAAAGATCTTGAGTGGGGCTATTTTAGCAGGAAGAGCAGAGTTTAGGCTCCTGGAATTCACTGAGTATTGGTTTACTAGAACCCCAACATCTATTAGTCAAAGCCCAGTACAAATTAGAAGCAGGAAGAATGAAATCAATTATCTGCTATGTTTCATAAGAAATGGGTCTTCTTGAATTTAACCAGGGCTCAGATTTGAATACATATGTGCAGTAAGTTAATTTTCCATTGTTAACAAATCTTCTAGGTTGCTTAGACAGTTCCTTTGTCTCCATCTTACTATCAGATAGGCACCTAACCATCACAGTGTAAATTATGTGCACCAGTATGTAAAGACACACATGAGATAACAATGAGCTCAATATTATATCCCAGTGTAATTGTATACAAATTATAGTAAAGCAATTTAAATCTTCTATTACATGTTTAATTACAGAAGAAACATTCTCCCAGTAATCATAAAGAATTGTATATAAATTTGTAGTTGTAAGGGAATGTCTCATCTGTTAGTCAGTCAATTGTTTTCTTTGTCCAGGACGTCTATACAAGGGACTTATTATGCTCAATCAAAAAACTGAACTGATACCTCACCAAAGCCAAAGAAATACTTCCAATGCCACATGCAGTGTCCAACTATGTGCATTTCTATCCATGGGTATTTTTTCACATCAGTTAGCTGCATAAAAAATAATTGACAAATGACCAACATAATTTCTAATTCTTTATAGGATGAATTCCAAACAGATAATTGGCGGTATGGTTGGTGTCCATGCCTACACTGCATATTATACTATGTGACAATATACTCACTGATATAAAATACCTTACTACTGACTTTTGAACTTTAATGGTGTGGTTGTATCTTCCATAAATGTCCATGCATAGAAACAGAACATCAATTATTATGATTTATAAAGCAGAATCCAAGAACACAATAATTTGGCATCTGAAGAATATGAGGTGCTTGTTTGAAGGCTAACAATTTTTCTGATTGTTAAAACATGTGTATGTGAATTGCCCATGTAATGATAAAGTGATTATGGAATAGCTTTGACACAATCCAGTAGAGATCCAGATCTATTTAACACAGTTCTTCTGCCAATTAAGTTGGCTAGCTTAGTCCTCAGATATTCACAGATGGGCAGGGCTTCCAGTAATCTTAGGAATACACTTCTGTGCATCGTATTTGCCTTGATTTCTAGCCCCTCAGTGTCCTAAAGAGCTATGCTTCTTTACTTTTGTTGTCATTTCTTGCCTGGGAATATCACCAGGGGTACATTAGATGCAAGGGTGAGCTCCCCCTCCATATCCTCGTGGTTTCACCATTTTAACTACTGTTATTTTTAATGTCTTTATTTCTTATGTGTATTAGAATTGGTATGACTTGTCAGATAGATTTTCTCCTCTAGTTTAAGCTGCTGAAAGTTGATTTAAAATTTAGCCTTTAATCATATGATCTGATATATGCAAAGGAATGTGACTTCAGTATTAAACAAACTCTTTAGTTGTTCTTCAAGGTATAGGGTAGGAAATCTGTCCTGGCACCACAATTCATTACTTGGAGCTATCTTGAGTGTGAAGCCCCACATAATGTACCTGCACAATACTATATGTACTCTGCCCGGTGAGATGCAGCCTTTCCAAATATTGCTAAAGGATTCATAATGTTGATAATCATACAACTACAATAAAAACGTAGTCACATGATGAATTATTGTCAAGACCTGCTGTTTTTAGAATATAGAAGGTTCATCTTTGTGCTCAGCTAATCCATGCAGTCAACTATCTTCCCATCGGCACATAAGAAGTGGCAATATTGTGGGGAAAGACCTTGGGTTGCTTTTTCAACAGAGTGGGTTGTCAAAAGGCTATAAGCTAACATATATCGCGTTTGCAATGGAAAACTATTCTCTTTATTCCCAGCTAAATTTAAAGTCCAATGGAACTTCAGAGAATCCAGCTGGGAAGAACTGCCATTGTATGAGAGAAAGTTAGAACAATATCTTAAATTTCTTTTTCAACTATCTAGATTACAAAGGCTGCTGTCCTATCAGATTGTCTTAGTTCTAAGCGTCTTTGTAAACAATAGGTCTCACTGCTCTATAGGTGTACTAGAAAGAGTTTCTACTGTAAGCCATTGAAATTCTCGTATTTAGCAGCGATTCTCACCAATGGGCCATGCTAAGTTCTATATGTCTTATATATTCTGTACTTTAAGAATAACTCTTGACTGTAAGATGAGAAATTACAATGCACGCTAATAGAAAATTACATTGGGTCTGCATTGAAAACACCTAAGGGCTTTCTTTAGATATTATCATCATCATTATCTCCATAATTACAAGCGATAATATTAAAAAAAATACATCCACTAGAATGAATAATGAAAAACCATTTGTCTAAGCATTTAAAATTAGGGAGGCAGGTTTGATTGCTCCTAGTTCCCAAAAGTTAGAATAACGCACAGTGTGAAAATGCAACTGAAGAAGAGATGAAGCAAAAAGTTTCTTCTGGGATGAGAATCAATTCATCTGACACCACCATTGCCGATTCATTGGGGAAATCTTTCCTTTCCAAATCTTTGCCGTATGTTTTGGAATGGAAAACAAGCTCCTTTAATTCTTCACTAGAATGGCCTCAAAGTCCAGTGGAGCTGGAGGGAATCCAGTTGGGAAGAACTGCCTTCAGGTGAACGAAGGTTGGAACAAAAATAGGGCCTTCAGGTAGCTGGGATATCAAATTGCAAGCTGAATCCTTAATTGCATAGAATTCACAGAAGAAGGTGGTTGGGCTTAAATGAGCTGAAAGCCTTTCCTTATTGTGGATTATTAAGCTTGCAGACTATTTTGAAAAAGATTTTGAAATTGCACTCATCTTCCAGCGTGAGCCAGACATAATCAGAAATAATGTGTATAGCGTGGGTATATTTAAAGGTTGGATGGGGTTTAATTATCGTCCTATCATTGGGATTGTGCAGTTTGTACAGATAGTAAACACAAAAGCATCTTGTCCATAGGGCACACCGGGATGCCAGGTGGGTTTGTTCATGCTCATCTCTCAAACAAAAATGGACATTCAATAGCTACTTCATTTACACTTGTTCCCTCCTAACAAGAGACCTGTCTTAGCGTTCATTTGGCAAAGGGCAAGGCTTCTATGGGGTATGAATCAATGTACTATGCCTTCATTAACCATTGCAATGGACTGAAGAAACAAAGCCCAACAGAGCTTTATTTGCAGCTTGGGTAGCATCAGCTTGAATTACTTCATTACACAGAACTAGACAAGTGAATGGGTGCAATTGAATCATCGAATCCAAGGGCACTGCTATTCTTATAGCTTCCTTTGTTTCTCCTTTTGCTGCAGAAAAACCACGGATGAACAGTATCCTCACCTCTGCTACAGAGCCCTATGATTTGTCCTTCTCCAAATCTTTCCAGAACCTCTCACACCTCCCTCCATCGTATGAGTCTGCAATTAAGACTAATCCAAGTAAATATTCTTCTCTGAAGAGATTAAGTAGGTTTCATTTCATTAACGTACTACTTGATGTGGATGATTTTTTTTGTTGTTTTGCTTTGAAAAAGAAGGGTGGTGGAGGGAGTACAGCACTATAAGCATCTTTGTGCTGTAGCTGTGTTTCATTCTTTCTTCCTGTAACAGAGAAATCTTTTCTATCACACCAGCTTGCCTCAATGGCCTCTTTTTCATGCTCATTAAATCACACTGCACCAATTCAGGTCGATCTTAACACTACAGGTTATTAAGTAGGTTTATACATTTCAGAAGGCCAAAAATTAGACTATTATCAATAACGAAAATACAATTTATTAAACAATACTTGAGATCCACGATTTTGAAAGCAATCAAGTAATAGCCAGTTGATTGTCAATGGAAACTGTAGCTGCAAAAAATATCTGAGACTAATGCAAAACAATGCAAAGGGACTCCTAATTTATGACACTTGTGAGAATCTTCAATTCAGTGACAGAAGATGAAGAGAGAGAGAGTTCAAAAGAAGAAGAAAAAAGCAGGAGATTTAAAGAAGTGATTCACTTTAATGGACCATACACAGAGTTCAGCAGAAAATAAAGATGTAGCATTAAATCTCCTTGCTACAGCAAAGAAGGAGAAATGTTCAAGTCTTCCTTAGAGCACAAAAGGCATAAGATTTAAGATGTGGCATTCACAAACATACACAGGTGCTAAGATGGTTAGATTCTTGAACATATTGCAGGGCACAGCTTATGTGAGGGATAAAGAAAGAGGCTGCCTCCTTGATAAGAAAGCAGGAAAAGAACCAGAGAGGGAAATAGAAATACAGAGAAAAAGAAATTACCTTTGCAGTTTTGCTGGGCTAGTTTTGCCAGCTTATATGATGGAAGATGCCTTTTCTTCATTTGGATATAAACATAATACAGGGGGTGTGGAGAAAGAGAGAAATGTTCAAGTTAGTTATACAGTTTATCTACTGTCTCCATCCTCAAGAAAGCCATTTCCTCTTATTTTCTTAAATGCTTGTGAGCCACTTTTATAATTTTCTTGAGAAATTTAGCAAATTAAATTAAATCCAACAAAATAATCACTATGGATCTGACCTGGTAACGATTTCTATGACTCTTGCCCCTTCATTGATATCCACAATTTTAAAATCATTTCCTCAGAGGATAGAAGGAATTGGGACAATCCATAGGGGTTGCAAATATTTTTGCCTGAATTTTAATAATGGAAAGAATTTGCCAGCATTTTTGCCAAATTGAAATTGAGACATTCTTTCCAACTGTACATTGTTTCTACCTAGCATGTTAAAGCTTTTAGTTACTCCCCTTGTTGATGATCCAACAGACTAAGGCTCCCATTTGTTTTCCTACAGAACTTTTATGGCCCAGTTTTATTACAGTGGGGTTCATTACAACAGAGAAAATCAAAACTCAGCCAAAAAGAAGATCACAGACTCTTCCTTCTTGAACAATCACATTAAATACAATTAGTTCTAACACTGTCTCTCTTTTCCAATTCTTTGTTTCTCTTGCTGTAAGAAAAAAAAATAGAAAAACGATTTCTAAAGATAAAGATTAAACTCTCAAAGCAGACAATATTGAAAAGACGGGGGGGGGGGGAACCTGTATTTAGAAAGGTTTTCTATCATAAAATTAAAATTGTTTTATGCCGCCCAGGGTCATTTTCCGTCAAATGGCCAACCATATAAATGTGATTAGTAAATAAATTTATGAAACTAATTTTAATGAAGAAAGCATACTTTTTTAAAAAGTCACATTGCAGGAAAAGCAAGGCTATACAAGTATTGGGGTTGGCATCTGGTTTGGTTGATGACATTTCCTCCAGACAAAGAATATTGACAGAGAATTTGGATATATGCTTGCTTGCTTGTCAAAATGACTTGCCAGACATAACAAATGCAAATATCCTTCTGTTAAATTTGCAACTGTCTTGTATAAAATTAAACAATCAGCCTTGCAAACAAGGAATATGGAGGATGTTCCAACAATCGTACACTGAAAATGTCATCCCTGGGTCTTTTATATAGCCTTTTACTCATGGCTTGATCCAAGCAGTGCAAAAAATTTGATGCATAGAAGGTAAGAAGGATAATACCTGCCAGCACCCTTGGTCGAAGTTCAGGCTTTAAGATATATACCTTCTTCAGGTTGATCATTCATCATTCATTCATTCATTCACTCATTCTATTCAATTTGAATGCTACCTGGCCAACTCTGGGTTTCTCCCAACAAAAGAGTAAAATAAAAACAAGATACAAAACAATTAATCAGAAGAGTTGCTGTTTTCTACTTTATAGTCTTGACATCTATATTTTTATTATCTTTATTATAGCTATTTCAAAAGGATGCTTTGCTTTGGCTATAATTTTTCAGAGACACCTTTGCTTCATAATACAATGCACCCCTTTACTTCACCATTCTAGAAGGTAGAGTTGCAGGTTCAACACATCTTGAGAATGCAAATTTAGCAAGATCTGGCCCCTTTGGTGCATGAGTACCAAGTGCAGCATTGTCCATACTGATTGAACATAAATTCATATGAAAGGGTATAGTCTACAAGAAGCCACTGCCAGTGTGTCAGTGCTTTTGCTTATTGCCTTTACACCTATTTCATATATTGATTATTCTGAAAAAAAAGGCACGGTTCCCCTTTTTTTTTACTTTCACCTCTTTTTCCAGCTCTTTATTTAATCTTTCGATTTCTCTTCTCCATCTAGCTGACAAGGAAGCAGAGGAATATTACTCTCGAAAGAGGCACCTTCCAGACTTAGCAGCAAGGGGGACCCTCCCTCTCAATGTCATCCAGTTATCCCAGAAACAAGTCAGCCAACGGGAGCGGCCACGCCGTGTAATGCGGGCCATGTCCCAAGATCGGGTGTTGTCCCCAGAGAGAATCATGCCTGAGGACTTCAGTATGTCTTATGAGCAGATCCTCTCAGATGAACAGCTGTTGTCTACCGAACGTCTTCATTCCCAAGACCCTCTGCTTTCTCCAGAGCACTCGGGCTTTAGAGAGCAGTCCATGTCACGAGCTTTGTCCCACTCTGATGTATTTGTTTCAACACCTGTCTTGGATCGCTACCGGATGACTAAGATGCACTCCCATCCCAGTGCCTCAAATAACTTGTACAACACCTTGAGTATGAACCAAACCTCAGCCAAACGCCAAGCATTTGCCTCCCGGCGACACAACACAGTGGAGCAGCTGCACTATATTCCAGGATACCATCACCATTACCGCACAGCCAGCAAGACAGAGGTGACTGTTTGATCAGAGACACTGTGTTCCTTGTAGATAATTCATGTGGACCAGATGGTTCAGTGCCGTATACTGCAGCGGCCTTATGGCCAAGATAACCTCTAAGACAGACTCTTCCAACAGTCCTGTCGGTATTGTTTTGAACATTCATTTTCATGTTATTGACAAAAAACGGGAAGAAGAAAACCTGAATAAGGAGAGATTATATACATGAAGTTTTGTGACATGCTCAGTTTCTGTCAAAGAAAGTCATGCTAGTGATGGCTTCTTTCACAGGCTCACTAACACCAATTATTTCATGTTTACTAAGTCAGGCTATTACTTTTACAACCATTATGACAAACAGTCTTGCAAAATTAGCAGAATATGGTATTAGTTCAGGTTTCTCTCTGGCAGAGTGAAAATCTATTATATTACAGTGCTTGCTAGGTGCTGCATCTTACCAAGAGTGTCCAACAGGTGTCTTTGCTGAGTTCTGTTCTAACTGTATGTAGTCCACCTGTTAGAAGATAGTGCATTTCCATGTGAGCATAATTCTTCCTGATTTGGAAAGAAATTATAGTGGCAAACAATATTAACTAGCTTAACAAAATTCAAGAGAAGTGGTTAAGAAACCACTTAATTTTACATATCATTGCCAAGTATACAGTACATAAACCCAGGAGTATCATGATTGCAGTAGATATAATAAATAAACAAAGAGCAGAAACTATTCCAGTGCCTAGAGATAAACAGTCCTAGATGCAAGAAGGTGTGAAAAGGGTTTGATTACAAGCACAATTATGTTAAGAGTGTTTGCCACCATCCCCCTTTTCATTTATACTCTAAATTTCCAACATTCTAATGTATCTATATATAAATTATTCTCTCTACTAACAAGTCAAATCACCTATTTTCACTGGGCAGATCATTTTTATGTCCAGGATATAGTTGCTTCTGAGAGAGATCCAATAAGATGTATGGAGTAGCTTTAGCTCAACTAGCATTCTATGAACATATAACGACAACTCCATTTTGGCTTGGTTTCTTGCCAGACTACAACTTTTATTCAATTGTTCTTGGGAGTTCCTTGTTTTACACATTTTCTTAAAAAGAATAATCATCCTAAAGCCTTCTCATAGCCAAATGATATCTTTGAACTGCCAGTTTTTTTCTCTGTCTTAATCCCATCCATCAAGTGAGATGCTCAAGCATCTCAAGTACCAATTTGGCATATTATACAGCCATTATACAGTGGTAATTAGACACTGGGTGTCTGTAAAGTCTTTCAAATAAATGTTTATAGATCCAGCATTTGTTGGATTTTGTACAGTTGGAAGAGATATTCTAATGAACATATTTCTAGAGACTAACCCCTAACGTTCCTACCTGGCCCTGAGCTCTGCCCCTAAAAGAGCTGGAAGGTCTGTGTGAATCTCTAAAATGTTGCTTTGTGCCATTATGTTCTTGTATCCTCATATTACGGGAGTATTGCCAGGTTTGCACAGTAGCACCTGGACATCTTGCCTCAAAGGGGATTCCACAGAGCTTCACGATACAAACAGGTACATTGATTAAAGGTTCCTGAGGTATGTGGCTTTCTCTGGACAGAGATTCTTCATCCAGTTTTTCTTCAGGTTCTCACAGTGTTTTTCAAAGAAACAACCATGTAAATAGTGATACTTGTCCTTTTTTGTTTTTTTTTTTTTTTAGTAATATGACTTTGTTTACAGCACCAGCAAGAAGTAGCAAAGGACTGTTTTTGCTGGCATGTGATGTTTGTAGACCACAGACTGGAGCCATATGAAACACTGTGCTTTGCTTAACAGAAACTGGGCTAAGAGGGGGAAATGGTGGTGGCTACCATAATTGGCTCTCTGCCTTCGAGTGACAGATGTGAGTTTTGGATTACTTATCATTAACTGTAATGTATGTAAGGAAAACCACGGGGAGGTGGCAACAATTCTCTGAGTGTTCTGGAATTTGTACTATTTTCTGCCCTCAAGTGTAGCTGTCTCCAAACATCTCTGGCTCTGTACAATATGGATAATACAATGTCTGCGATTTACTAATACAAAAATAGCATTGTTGCCCAGAAGCATAAGAGCACTGCATTATCTGACATGAAAAGCCAGCTATATAAATAGTTTGCTTCAATCTTCCTTTACGTAAACTCTGAGACAGTGGTGGGATTCAGCCCGTTTGCGCCAGTTTGGCAGAACAGGTAGCTAATTTTTTGTTGCCCAGGCCCAGAATGGACTTCCGGAAGCAGCATCCAAACAGAGAACCGATTGTTCGCATATTTGAATCCCACCACTGCCCTGAGAGTATTGACTACATGGATTAACCTAATATTTGAGAAAAAGAATTTCTGGGCTTTCACTTGTTGAAGCAGTGGGTGAAAGATCCACTCAGTAATTTTAATGTTGTAAAGATTTCATATCATCTTTTCGAGCAGAGGTGATTTTCTGTAGCAATTGTCTTAGTCTTATAGCAGCTTTCAACAAGACCAAGAAGACCTTGTCCTTTCAGCAACTTACATGATCTATATTAATCATCAGCACATCTTTCCTTACAAGCTCTCTGAGGACACTGTAAAAGAGACATGGTGGTATCCTGAGGGTTAGAGTATTGCTGAGGTCAGTTCTGCCTGGAATTTGATTTAAAAATTAGTTTGCTGTATTGAGAAAATTTGCTAAGGTCATAGCTGGACTGAACACTCTTTTCATGATCACAAATAATCTTGAAGGGTGCATTTCAAGATTGACAGGAAAAAAGTGGAACTGCGAAGGAGAAAATGGACAAAGTCTGGCCAAAACAAAACACCAACAACAAAAAAAAGGAAATCCATCTGGATTATTTTCAAATGATTCATTTTTTCCTACACTTAACTTTATCAATTAATTTGAGATTTCCCCCATATTCTGAAACTCTTTGCCTCATCAGGTCATAGCAAAGCTTGGAGGAAAGAAATACGGCTTGTTGGTTGCTCCTTCATGCTATGAAGTGAGCCGTTCTTATTATTTTAGCTCCTTCATAGTGTTGTCTATCTATAACTATCCTAACTTCAGATTAATCTTACATTTGATTGGCTCATCAGACTATTAAAATGTAATGACTGATCTTCCATGTCACATTTGAAATATGCAGACCTAATACAAAAATTTCACAAGGATGAAAGTTAACAAGTTTTATTAATCTATTTTTACAGCTTCTAAAGATAAGGCAGTTTTTAAGAATTTACAAGCGAAATTATAACCTATCTTTCCACTGTATAGCTGAAAAAAAGTTTTAAAAAACCTAAAAATGTGATATGCTTGAAAAACACTGCAGATTAAAGAGCAGAATTATTAGCTAGCCAAATTCAGCCAAAGGACTTGATGAAAAGGACAATTAGCAAGGAATTAAATGGAATTTGCTTATTGCATGTTTTACAAACCTCCTTTCTATTAAATAAGTTCCACAAAGAATTTAAGGAGTGCTTCAAAAATTTACAGATAATTTTGAGGGGAGGAGGGAACAAGAAAATGGGATGCAGTCCTAGAAAAAGCTGGATGTTTGTTTGTTTTTTAAGTTGCCTATTCTCATTGAATTATATGACCGAAAAGGGCAAATCCATTTTAGCTTGAAAAGCAATTTGTCAAGCTATGAGCTACAAGACAAATATAAAGACAGCTTGATTGGGTTACATAATCTCTCTCTCTCTCTCTCTCTCTCTCTCTCTCTCTCTCTCTCTCTCTCTCTCTCTCTCTCTCTCTCTCTCTCCCTCCCTCCCTCCCTCCCTCCCTCCCTCCCCCCCCTCTCTCTCTCTCTCTCTCACACACACACACACACACACACACACACACACAATCAGCCAATCCACCTTGTTTGGTATGTTTGAATCACAATTGGCAGCAACAAGCGTACCAATTGCCAGGACCCCTGGAAAATGTCCTCATAGGAAAGTTATTTGTGGCACTCCTGTTTTAAAAATGTGGGATTGTTTACCTTTTGTAAAAAAAATTATTTATCCACCTTTTCTAAAACTTTTCAGATGGCTTTCAACAGTGCCAGAAAAAGTACATTGATTATTCCTATGTTGTAGCGGAGTGAGCAGAATCAGGATTGGTTGGTAAATTGCTAGGTATTTTGCAGGGGATGTGTAAATGCTGCTGACTCCCCCTTTTCCAATTATAGCAACAGCTAAGAAGTTGCTGAAAAAGAAAGATTGGGGAAACCCTAGAGATGAATTATGGGTGCAAGACCTACCAATCACCAGCTCCTTTGTTGAGAATGTGCTATTCCTTATTAATGCCTCATTTTCTTACCTTAGCCCTTGTTTTGCACCAGACTTGGTTAGTGTATCATAAAGCGTATAAATAGAAAGCAAAGGGAATTTTGTACATCTCAGGTCTTGCACATTACAGTTTTGGTTATAGCTAGTGTGGGGAATCTAAGGCTCTCCAGATAGCATAGGAAGATTAGGACCAAGGCAAGTCATAATCCAATTTCCGTGAGGTTCTGAATCCTTACCTTGTACTTTCAAAGGAATCTTTCTAAGCCCTGGCATCAATGGGTACTGCTTGCTCTCTTTGGGTACTTAGTAGGAGGAAATCAGGAAGGGAAACTCAAATGTATATAAGAAACATTGTGATTAAACTGATAAGAAGCAAAGGCTCTTCTTATGAGGCTACACATTTCACATGCCTATATAGAAGAAGCTTGTATCTTGTCTATGTTTATTGAATAGGAGGAATACAGTTCATTTATTTTGAATTTAAGCGCACAAGGTTTCAAGAGAGCATCAAGATGCATCGTTTCCCTTCTATTTTGGGATCTTTTTGTTATCAGCAGTTCCAATATGTGCCAACAGCAGCCTGTGAAATTACTGATTTAGCCACCAGTACAAACTACTCACCTAAGCAAAGCCCCAGGACAACCAAATGATTCAGAGATTGGTTTGAAAGGACATAGATGGCTAGATGAAGTGGCTACAGGAATCATAACTGAGATACATTTGTTGACCTTTTTGACAAAGGAGTTTGTCTTGAGACCCAGCCCATTGACCCATACCACTACAAATATTAAATCAAAGGGTTAATCCGAGGTCAAAGTGAGCTGAGAAAAAGAAAGAGCCCACTCAGTGTATCTGATTCCTTCTGAGTGGAGTGAAGTTATGTACATTACAATCTTTGGTGTACAGAGGAAGGTTCCTGTTGTTCCAGGGGTTGTAAATTTTGAGCAACCATCTTCTAGGCCAGAGGTCCCCAACCTTTTGGGCACCAGGGACCGGTTCCGTGGAGAAAGGTTTTTCCACAGATTGGAAAGTGTGTGGTTTTGTGTGCTGCCTGCATCCCATGGTTGGAGCTTTGCTTGTTTGTGCGGACCAGTTGCTGGCATGCCTTGGCCCGGTACTGGTCCATGGACTGGGGCTTGGGGACCCCTGTTCTAGGCTATTGTTGACGTGGTGAGGATAAGGGAAGTATACTTTTCAATGTAAGTAATCAACAAATGTGTAGCCAGAGATCGTCTCTCTGTTAGATATTTTTTGGCTAAATTAGCCAGCTGAGATACCTTAGCAAGAGAATGATGTACATCAAACCACCCCTGAAAACCACTTGAAAGCAGATCACTTGCTTGCGTTAACGTTTCATAAAGCTGAAAACTCCAGAAAATGTCAAATGGTTTGCTTGCCCAGAAAATTCTTAGCAATAAGTTTGGATTGAAATGGTTTTCAAATAATAGCCACCTGTGTGTTGTATGTCTAGTGCTAATTAACAAGCTGATTTAGCATTCTTTCTGAGCTGTAGAGGCAGCAGCAGGTGGAATCCATTTCAAGCATGTATTTCAACTGCTGAAACCTGGTGGGAAGGAAAGGAGGCAGATCTAGTCCTTATGATGTTTATATAAAAGGGAGGGAGGGAGCTAAAAGACCCATTATCTCATTAGTTAGCAAAGCAATGCCATGTGGTGTCCCTTTGTGACCTTTCATAATTTGTGGAAGCTCTGGCCACGGGTACAGACCTCCACTTTCCTGTGGTACTAATAGCACACTTTGCAGCTGCTTCTTCTTTAAGCCTCCATTCCACTTGCTGGTGAGGAATTCTCACAGCCAGAGTTTCTCCACTTTTGAGGAAGCCAACTCATTATAATCAGCTTTATTTGGAGACCGTTTCCTGAGGGGAAGATTGACTGTCTGACCCTCTTTGTGCTTTAGCCCAGTTTATGGAATCCTTGTTTATTCTCCAGTAGTTCTGATGAGAAAGTACATTTGTATCTGTATCTTTGCACAGACTCTTGGGTCTGCATTAAGCTTCAAGGCAGTAGTATTTGACTGTTTTTCTCTGTATTATCCTTGTTGTTATACTTACCTGTAAAAGCACATTCTGTAGGTACTGTAAACAAACCTATTACCAGTTTAGTAAAAATTTAGAGTATTAAGGATTTTTTCCACTTTTGTCAGTAACAAATATTTATGGATTCAGAAATAAAGCAATTTCAGCAGAAAAACCCCCGTTTTCTCTGTTGCTACCTACATTTAAAGAAACTACAGAAATGACTTTTTCCATGCCTGCCTCTGCCACTTTGCCAACAAGGGTGACCATGAATGGCTAATTTCACATGCTGCAGGAAACCATGGCTTTGTTTACATTTGTTTATTGATTAAACCACAGTTGATTTGATTCACCCTGTACTCCTAGCATAAACCATAATGCAACTTCTGGTGATTTGAAAGTCATATTCCAAAAGGGCATAGCATCATGTTTTCCTTAGTTATATTTTCCCCTTTATTGTTCATCTTATTTATATCTATTATTTGGGAGGGAGTTATAAAAGGAAGACCCCAGCAGAATAGGTTGAACTTGTTTTTCTGCAGTAGAAACAACAAGACTCTTCAGGGTTATGAATTCCTCTATTGAGACAAAAAGCCTTAAAAGTCAGAAGTGCAATTCAGAGGAAGTCACTGAAAGGAGGGGGTGTAAAAGCCCCCCCCCTTTTTTGCCTTTGGGGGACTTTAATAGTCAAAACATGTACTTTAAGCTTCAATTTTCTCTTAGAATACTAACAAGAGGGAAATCCACCCATGTTGGCAAGGCCTAAGACATCTATTTTGCCTGTTAAGCCACCCCAACCCAGTCCTCAGAATTGGGAGGTTACACCAAAGCTTCTGTCAGAGATGTGACCTAGAGGCTGCTTTTTTACAGCTCTGTCATAAACCATGGTTTATAAACATGGTTTGATTGCACAAGATCTATAACCAAAAACCAAACAACTCATTATGGCTTAGTGTGTTTTTTGAATTTAACTTGTGCTTGCTTTGATCTAAAGAAAACAGCCTAATTCTGTTACTTAATAATATAACAAAGCACCTAACAAGAAGAGTAACAATTGGAATAGTTCCATCCAACTGATACAAAACTCAAAACTGTAGAATTCCAGGCAAATTCTTAGTTGCCTGCGGCAAATGGATATTACTTGTTAAGATTTGAAAACCTGCAAAACTTCAAGCCAAAGCAAAATTCCATTTTGCTTTATTGGGACAATTCACAGCCTCAATGCCTGAAATGAGGATATTAAAAAAAACCTTCTGGATCTTGCTGGTATAAAAGATTTGATGGAGAGGTATATTGGGATCAAAGAATCACAGGAACTGGCCATCAGGCCATCACTGACCCAATCCACCCTTGAGGGATCTTGGAAGAGAGATTTTTACCATTTTCTCCATTTCTTTATATCTCAGTTTCTCAGCCATGATGTTATATAAAGACATTTCATGAAATGTTTTAGCTGCTTTAATTGTTTTTTTAAAAAAAGAAATTAATCTCTTCTGCTTCTCCCTAGACCAGGTGTGTCAAACTCAATTTCATTGAGGGCCACATCAGCATTGCGGTTGCCCTCGGGGGGTCGGGGGGGGTGGCCAAGGTGGGTGCGGCCTACTGGGTGGGCAAGGATAGAGTGGGTGTGGCCTACTGGGTGGGCATGGCCAGCTCTACATTGTTCGCGTCAAGGGTGCCTGTGAGGGCCTGGGCAGGAGTGGGACAGATCTGAGGGTCTCTGGCAGAAGGGAGTGGGACCGGGGCAAGCGCCAAGGCATGGTCCATTTCTTCATTCCTCACAAAGGGTGACACCTCCCCAGCATGCACCCAGGGGGCAGGGGCGATGCGGCAGGGGCTGGTTCCTCGCTTTTTCTAGACAGCCTTATGGAGCTAAATGCATTTCAGCATAGATGGCCACCACAAAATTGTACATTGGCTCCCAGCCAGCCTGGGCCAGGGCCATGGTAGCAGGGGGCATTCCTTGACTGTTTCCAGGATAGCTTTGCAGGCCACATAAAACCACTTCACAGGCCGCATCTGGCCCCCGGGCCTTGAGTTTGACATGTCTGCCCTAGACCAACTCCCAGCAATTGTCTCTACCACATTCAGAAAGAAACAGCCACCTCTCCCTTTGCACAATAACCTTCTCAAAACTCACCATCAACGTGGTCAATAATATTACATTGTAGCTTTTAACCACATATGGCAAGCTCTTTCATTTCAAAAAGCCTGTAAATTTAAAAGCTGTAGTAGCTTATACAGTGGTATCTCATAAACTGTGCCCTCAGCTTTAAGGTAATGGAAATTAATCTATGGTTTGGTAAGGAAGGATGAAATTCATATTTGGAGAGGGCCTGTGCATTTCTACTGACATCAAAATG